GGTCAAACTGTTGCAAGAATACACTTTCCGAGAATTTTGTGCTTTGATCGTAATACTTTGTTTATGATTAAAAAAGTCACGATATCAACCATTAAAGCCGATCCACGACCGACTTGAGCAACGACTGGCAAGCAGATACTTAAAACATACGTTTTTCGTAGGCATAGTTGGCAGAAAATTTAATTAGGAGTATTCAACACAACTACTCGAAAAACAGATACACGTTTTGACTTTACAATGTACTACTACTTTGCATTGAAACATGCCTTTGCCCGTGATTGAATGTTGATCGAGGCGCTATTAAGTTTAATGGCCACAGATTTAATTTCCGGCCGGAAAGTTGGGATGATAGGAGAACAACTTACACCCCAGGTGTAAAATTGCGTCCATTTATCAAATTATATGATGCTTCTCGATTGCTGAAATTAAAGATTATCCAAGAATCAGTAGGTGCAGTTCTGTCCGTTCTGGGGACAGCCAAGCAACATTTATTGAGGTTAAACTGTCATACAAGACGCTACAAGTGAGAATTTCAAAAAAGGTAATTAAGGTATTAAGTGCGGTACGCACTCAGACATATCATTAATTGAGGTAAGGTAGCATCATATCGGACTCAAAGTGTGTCTCTCGTACAAAAGGTTGACGCCACTTCTTGACATCTTTTAATGAGGTCATTTATTAACATCATCAAAGCGCTTATATCAAAGAGTAGCAATCTGTAGAGACGACGTCTCGTCGGATTGCACGTCACATCTTTTGTCTTTTAGCCAATGATCATTTTTGTTTATTTTTGAAAACGATTGGAAATAGCACTTTTCTGTAACCTAGTCTCTACCTATGTGCAGGAGGAAGGATAACCCACTCCGTGCTACACAAGGAAAAGGTATCTATCTATCACTGAGACAGTTTTATAACGATTACTTGTTGCTAGCTGCACTCGAGCGGGTCCGTAAAACCATTTATCGCAAGTGCTTAAAAGCGTTGGTAAAGATTGCACGTGAAAGCTTTAAATGCTCACCTTCTATATATGCCTCCATTAAAAATTCACAGAGTGAACTTGACATAGAAGGGAAAAGGTAATCTTGCTTCACCATGAAGTTAAAATACAAACAGGGCTCTAGAGACACAGGGTGCGAAACAGTCCGAATGGTCGAGACAACAAAATGATATGCTGTTCCCTGGGCGACGCACACGTTAACGCGATAAAAAATGTCTCCCGGTACAATGGAGCTTAGATAAATAAAATTTAATGTGGTTTGTCGAGTCTGGAGATGTGATTAAGCTTGTCGCTTTATTGAAAGCGAGATATAATTGGCATTTTATCAGTCGAACTTGGTATGATTGACAAATCTTAGACCTTAGGGTTCAAACTTCACGACCCATGTGCTTTAATAAAGTTAAGTGTATGCATGAATTGACTCATATGAACAATTGAGCCGTTGCAAGACGAGTTCGGGCTTTATCTAAGAATCTAAAATTCTATTAAAGTAAACTTGGTGCTCATGCCTACGTAGTTCACACATGGCACCTTATAAGGTTGTGTCCTGATCGACCCATTTCGATCAAACTGACAATAATTTCGTTTTGAACATTTATTCTTGCGGATGCATTAGTCGAGACATGTACGTTTCACCTATAGTTAAATGCTTCATTAACAAAAAATACAGTTGCGGAGCAGGAGGACTTTAACGTGTGGCAGGTTCATGCGAACCTAAGCTCCTATATTTTTTTCAGACGACATGACGGAAGAGGACCAAAAGCAATAGGCTTGTGCCGAATTAAAATTGCATTATCCTCATTTAAGAAGTACAAGAAAGTTCGGAAATGCAAAAATGCCAGAAGATGGGAAAGCACACATATGCGTGCAGCATTACACACAAAGTGTCTTTAATCGGTGGACGTAACAACTTTACCTTGCAAATGCATGACGCACTTGAGCACGACTTGTTTCGAAGACGCAACAACGGTTAATTTTTTAAAAAGCTTGGGATCAGTAGGAGTGAAGCCTCTACTGATCCAGAAACGTCACGTAAGTTTGAAAACCGGGTTGAACAGAGTTGACCTTAAACAGTAATTAAAAGTCCTGCAATCGGTAGTAAGGTTTTACTCATTACATTTACATTTAACGTATTACAGGATACGTCACATCCAGCCACACTCGTCTGTGGGGCGTCTCACAGCTTTGTCCAGTGCCAGTTGCTAACAATCGCGAGATCAAGATAGCCGAGAGCGCGATCACTTAATCAGGGGTAAATTTAAGTCCTGCAAAAAGGGCATCAGTGAAAGGCATTCTGTTCCCAGTAGGTTTTCGATACACTGTAAGTATTTCAAAATGCCAAAAAGTATCACCGTCACATAAGAGATCTTACTTACAGTTTCTTGCAAAAATGGCTACGAATTTAAAATCTCTTCCTTATTTTGCCATGTCCCAGAAGAAAAAAACAAAGGCGATTGAGATGCGCCAAAAGTCGATATGCTTGTGAGTTGAACATAGGAGACGATTGAACAAATGTGCGATTTAGTCGAAATATAACTGCACACAAAAATTTATTTGACCTTGATATCCACCATGCTTTGGATTAATCTGATTGCTTTAAAAAATGCACATCTAGATGACCCCTTCCCAAACAAGTCATTTGATGAGAGCATGGATACTTTCCTAGCGAGAAGCATTAAAAAAACATCTTTTCAATAGGATGGCCAAACGATGATCCTACATCGACGGGGGGTTCGACATAAAGAATTTCTCTTTACTAGTGAGATTGCACCTCTAGTACATAAAAACAAGCCTCCTATAATCTTAAAACACCTGCTTGGCAAGTATTTTCGACATTTATATGTCTTAGCCACTGCCGGATCAAATTATCCGCTTGTACGCTCGGTAAATCCCGCATCTAGAGTGTTCTGGGGAAATCAATCATCTGCCAACTACAACAAAGTAGAGATTTTTGCGTGACCTGTGTCATTGTAAGGTCAAGCAGATATGCATAATTGTTGCAGAGGACTAGCTAGTCTACATAGTAAGGTTTGCGATGGTTTGTGACAGAACCTAAGGAAGTAAAAGGAGCTTAGTTATGACGAGAGTTTACTCAATTAGAGGAAGAGTTGAGTGATGCACGTCCCAGTCCCGAACTCCAGCAAAAAGTTTCTTCGAAAAAAAAGTAGCACAAAAGGATGTTATTCCTGAAGCAATACGGTACGAATGATTTAAAGATTAAGGTAGTCGTCATAAGATTAAACTTTGAACAAAGATCGAAAAGCATCGTCATAAAACAGTTGCGTGAGCCCTCGTGAAAGATACTGCAGTTAAAAAAGCTTAAGAGTGGCTGAGCAGCCAGTTATGTTACAATTTGTAGAACTACACATAACTCTTTTACCTCCTGCATTTAATTAAACTAGAATATGTCAAAAGTGCAAACAATCATCAAGTTTAATGCTACCCCGCACTTTAAATACTACCAAGAAAGAACTTCATTCATGACAATATGGCAAGTGGTACCGTCTTTCCGTCCACGGATCAGGTTGACGAGTTCTGTAAGATCCTCATGTCGTCCTGAATTTTCAAATGAGCAATAACAGCAACTTGTTGACCAATGAAATGGCGCACAGAGAAGACCTGTAACGGGGCTAGAACAACCCGTACTTAGCTTACACTATTTCTAACGCTTTGAGGAAGCCTCAAATCCCAAGTCTTAGGTGTTTAGTATTTTTTACTCTGTTTTGATACTTTGTCTTTTAATCATCCTAAGTATGAATGGTTTCTTGGACTCATGAAAGCCACTCAATCTACGTGCCTATACCTTACTGGCTAATAGTGGGACTGAGCCCATTAAACAAGCTAAAATGTACGACGTGCTGCTTTCTCTACCTCGAAAGTGGCACCTCTACTTAAGTAAGCTGTAAACTAAATCGCAACTACTAATGTAACGGGGTTCCCTATTACATCACACCCTTCTCAAGACAGCACTCACAAACCGAAAGTGCTCAACCTCAAGACCCAACGGATGCACAAGCCAAACGATGACTGAAGACACAAATGCCAACACCCCAGCACTCCTGCGCACTGTCAGCGAGAGTTCGATAGACCACGTCATGGATCAGCACCTGATCCCTTGGGAGCTATACGACTTGTCCTAAGCTCGATCTCCGGACTCTCTTGAAACAATGGAGGACTAATTCCGGCGTTTTCGTGGATTACACTGCAAGAGTCTTGATGGCATCTCGTGCGAGTACCTCCAGCGTTCTTGGTGCCCGTTCATCGGCGGTGAAACTGGATGCTCAAAGTCGGAAGGAACTTTTAGCAGTGGCTTGTAAATCGCGAAGATATCCACGCCGATCAATTGATCGATGTGCTGCGAGAAAAGGTCTGTGAGAACGCGTGGAACGTTGACCGACTCTGCTACGTTCTCGTGCACGAATCTTATTACTCCTGTGACTCGGTGCCTCGTACAAACCGCGAGACTTGTCAACGACACGTCGCTGAGTATCCCCTCAGCGAACATCAATTTCCCCGAACCAACGGTATAAGCGCAGATTGATAGAGCTTAAGATCGCAGTCAAATCGTGGTGCATCTAGCTGGCGACACCACTCGCGTTCGCGGGGACGTGGTGCCACACGCTCGCCACAACGTTCTCGTTCGCGTGGTTGTGGTCGTGGTGATACACGTTTACTACGACGCTCTCCTCTTATCTCTTCATCTTGTCGTCGTGGTGAAACGTCATTACGACATTCTCGCAATCGCCATTGGTCTCATAGTCGTCGTGGCGCTTCACCACGACACATTCGTCGTTCGTCTCGTTCTCGATCACCGCAAGAACACTAAGTTCCTCATACAAATCTCAAACAAGCGCATGCACGGACTCGTATGCCTGAAAGAAGTCTGGAACGTCTAGAAGAAGCGAAGAGCGCAGTTCCCACGTATCCTGCTCGAGTGGAAACTTAAGCCAATGCACTCGATACTTGCGCGCGGTTGAAACCGCGCGCGAACGGAGTTGCGACAATGTCTTTTCGCTACGAGGGTCCTCGGGACCCAGCAAATGTTCCACGATCCAGCGCCTTTGACCTTACGCGTCATCAAGTGGTGGTGGGCCCTCGCGATGGTAATGCTGGCGTCCTGGGTGCCCAGAAGGATGTAGATGCGGCGGTAAACAAGGCTGACGATGCCCAGCTCGAAGATGAAGCTGCCCTTGATAGATCTGCGCGGTCTGAGAGAGCATCGAGCGAGATTCGACAGTCTAACCGCGAGCTGCTTGAGAAAGAGAGTACCTGGAACGCCAGATTCTTGGGCACGCGCAGGGTGGGACGCAGTCGTGTCCGACGTCTTAACGCATGAGAAAGGCAAGAAAGAAGGTCGACCTACGAGTCTTTGTCTCCGATGACGGAGCCAACCCGTGAAGCGTAGCTGGACGATACTCCTTGAGCCTCCCGACGTATGACGTCGGGTGAAGTCGTAGTACGAAGGAATGTCCAGCGTGTATGCGTCGCCGATCACCTTGAGTATCGTGAGTGTACCGATAAAACGTGGCGTGAGTTTGCTCGCGCCGAGATTGGTTACTGCTGAATCTCGTGAGCTTTCATTAGTTAGCAATACACGATCACTCTTCTTGAAATTACTCATGTCCTTTCTGCCACTTTTGCATGCATTCGCGGTCTGTTCATCCACTGCGGATCGAAGAAAATTGCGTACAAATCTCGTGATGGCTTGACATTGGGTATTAACTCTGACACGGCCAAGTCATCATTTGGTCGTGTTGATTAAATCGGCGCGTAGTTGGCTTGAGGTCTTCGCATACCCGAAGAAGGGTCAATCAGTCTCTGTGCAGCCCATTGAGCAAGTGGGGGCGCCACGTCACGTGGCATAAAAACAGAAGGCTTCACTGAGTCGGGTGACAACGTTCGTGCTTAGAATTATGTGAACTGCACTCGATCGTTGTTTACCACTATCACCTCCCGCCAGAGTGGAGCCACGAAGAGCCGTGAATTGAACCACGGCAAGAAGGGTAAGTACACGAGGATGACGGGCCAAATTTTCAATATGGCGTCAACCCCGTTGAGGCGTGAACTGCGTTGTTGAGTGCAAACTCCACGAGTGGTAAAATGCACTCCAACTCGTAAAGAAAGTTGCGTAACTTCGAAGAACATCTTCGAGGAACCAATTAACCCGCTCTGTTTGCCCATCCGTTTCTGGATGGGCTGCTGTCGACATTTGCAGCTTCGTGCCAAGTAACTCAAACAATGACGTCTAAAATGCAGATGTGAAACGAGGATCACGTTCCGAGACAATGTTGTATGGTAGACCGTGATGGCGAAACCCAGTGTCAATAGAGTGCAATGCGGTATAAGCTGCGGTGATGGTTGCACGAACAGGCACCAGATGTGTCATTTTGCTGAATCTATCCACAAAACCCAAAATACCGGTTCGGTCTTGGCTATCAGGTGCAAGCCCGAGAATAAGGTCCATTGAAGCTGAGCGCCAAGGCTCAGCTGAAATTGGCAGGGGTCGCGGGGGTGCCTTCGACGATGGAGATGGCTTCACTCGTTGACATATTTCGCAGGAGCGAATCCAGTTGCGAAACCACTTGTACGTGTGGGGCCAGAAGAAGTCATGTGAGCCAGCCGCAAATGTCTTTTGCGGTCCGGATGACCGCCAGTTGGGGCGTCATGGTACTCATGTATGATACGAGCACGCAGATCCAAGTCATTCGCAATAAATGCTCGAGGTGCATTAAATTTATCGATGCTGTTTAACTGCAAATCACCATTCAAACTGTATCGTAGAATGTGACTACGCTTTGTTCGCGAAAGGGCTCCCAGTGATGCTGCACTGGGAGCGCGCAGATTGTTTTTTATGCCCGCGTAATTTGTATCGTTCGCGTAAGCCGCGACAATTTCATCGAAAAGGCAAAACTCGGGTGCAACCCGAGTTAGATTCAACGACTCACAAGTCGCACATTGATCGTCTTCATAGTCATTGTCAGTTGCGTGAAGACCCAGTGCCATACGAGGATCGTAATCTGGACGTCGTGACTGTGCGTCAGCAAGATTGTTAGCCTTGCCTGGCTTTTAGTGCGCGAAATAGTTGTACTTGGAGAAGAAAGAGAGCGACAGTGACATCCGCTGTGACAGGTGTGGGAACTTCATCGCTGCACGCAGCGATGCATGATCAATTTAAAGGGCAAACGTGCGTTCTCCCAGCAGGTGGACACGAAATTTGATGGGTGCGTAGCGCATAGCTAATATCTCCTTATCGTGCACTGGTTAGTGCTTCTCCGCCGGCTTCATCTGTCGTGTTTGGTAACTTAAGACTATTTCACGGCTTTTATGATCAAACTGCATGAAGGAAAAACCAATTGCAAAGTCACTTGCACCACACACCATGTAAAACGGCTTGTTGTCTTTAGGGGTTACCAACACTGGCGCTGACGCAAGGCTCTTCTTCACTGCTTCAATGGCCGCTTGATGCTCAAGACGCCAAGACTACGTTGCGTCTTTCTTAAGAAGTGACGACAGAGGCTGTATAGAATTGGCGTAATCCTTTGTGTACTTATGCAAGTAATTAGCTAGACCGAGCCATTGACGCAACTCCGTAGGATTTTGGGTGTGGGGCAAAAACAGATAGACGACCAATTCTTTGGATCGACTTGAACCGCGATATACTCACTTCGCAACCCAGCACAGGAATCCCCAGTGCACAGAATATACAATTCTTTAAGTTTGCATATAATTTGTTATCCCGCATGACTTGAAACATCTGCTTCTGGTGTAGAAGGTGAACTTGTACGGCGCTAAGGTTACCTGTAGCGCGACTAAGGACAAAAATGTCCTTAAAGTAGCCAATAGTAACGTCTTGAAGCGGTCTCAACACTTGAGACACCAGCTGATTGAACGTGGCTGGTGCGTTCTTCAATCCGTGTGGCATTATCAGCCACTCCCATAGCATACCACTCGGAATACTCACCGCAGTGAGTGGTGTGTCACTCTGTAGCATCAAGATCTGGTAAAAGCCATCGGTCTAATCGATGGCGCTCAAGATGACGCTTCCTGACTTGGGGTTGAGAACCATGTCTTGTCTGGAAATTAACATTTGGGCAGGAATAGTGGTATCATTCAGCTTGTTAAACGCATGCACTACACGCCAGCCACCCGTAGCCTTCTTCAAGCGGAAGTTTGGACTCGAATGGGGTGAGACACTCTCACACACTTGCCGGCCTTGCGAATATCTTCAAGAATACATCAATAGCCTCGACTTGGTCTTGAGGTGACGGCCACTGCCGTGTCACACAATAGTTTTATCCTGGAACCAGATTAATCTCGTACCAAACACCACGATCAGCAGGAAGTTCAGCCGAAATCTTCTCCAGAAATACGTCTGCGTACTCGCGAGCAATGTCGTAGACAGGGTTACCTAGAATCGCGCAGAGCCTCCTAAGATTGCAACGCACATCTTTCTTCGTGCGCTGAATTTTGATCAGCGCTTCGAGGACGCGTCATTCGCTCCTCATTCGGCTCATAGGTCACCTCGTTGGTTACCAGACATACTTGTTCCACCGTGCCTCCCTTGAGGTCGCGTAGAGAATGCTTCCAGGAGAGTCCTTGAAAGGCTCGTACTCGACGACGCGTCGCGAGGTGGACTCGCAACCTCAATATATTTGCTCCTTCGTGAGCTCCCGTCCACGTACAAAATAGCGTGAACACATTCCAACGCTGAAGTCCCGTGGCTTGCGTCAATATCGTGCTTTGAGTCTATGCTTGAAGCTGGAGAACCGCAGTCAGGTAATAAATCTGCACCCCCTTCTAGACGCTGGATGTCATCATCCAGGACGTTCAAATCGCGCGACGATAGTAGCCCATACATTTCGGTTGACTAATGATGCGGGAGTTCTTGCTCAACCGCCACAAACTCGTGCGGGGGCCCCTGCTCGACCACGTTTAGCTCATGTGACAACCTCCGTTCTGCCATAGTGAGAGATGATGGGAACCCCTGTTCGACCATTATGTTCGCACATGAGGACTCCTATCCATAACGTCACACTCGGTGACGATCCCCTGCTCGGCCACATCTTGCCCTTGTGGGAGCCTCTGTTCGGCCACAATGGGCTCAGGTGGGAACACTTGTTCGACCACTGCTCTCTCGTGCGGGAAACTCTGTTCGACCGCGTCGTCTTCGCGCGGAGGCCACTGCTCGTCCGTGTCGTCATTACGCGGGAGGCACTGCTCATCCATGTCGTACTCCTCGCTGCAGATCGAGGAGACGTCGTCACATGTGCGCAGGGGAACAAAACAAGCGGTACAGAGAGCGCCATCGCTCACTCTATGTACCGCCGGGGTCGTGGTTGTACGATCCACGACTGCAACGTTCGGCTAATCACTTGGGGACACCAAGAGATGGGTGATCACTTCGCTGACGCCGAACTTACTTCAACGTCTCACTGATCCGATCAGCCAGTCGTGCCAACCATGGCATGCCCAGGATGCTTTCGAATACATAATTCACCTCAATCATCTAGAAATTGTCGTTACTGCGAAAGCCGTCAAAGGTGTATGGCTACGACACTTCGCGCCACGTTACGCAGCGTAATTTCCGTCAGCAAGCTTGGCAACAACTTGGCCAGGTCCCTCGTGGAACTAGATGCTTGGTGGCAGCATTGACACGCAAGATTCAAGGAAAAAACATTTGTTTGCCGATCCTAAATTCAGGAGCGCTTGTAAAGGTCGCCGGATACCGGCGACAGACAGATTAACAATTACTAGGCGTGAATCACCAATCGTAGTTATGGCATTTGACCGTGCACGCAGCACAGATGGGCTGGGAGGTCGGGCTGCCACCGGTGGACCCAGACCTCCCTATAAACCAGCAGGGCGCCCTGCACCTACTGGTCTCGTCCATAATTTGGACTTTAGAACGGAGCACCTCCCTCATGGTGGGTGTCCGTCACATGCACTGACATCGGTGCTGGCGCGCGGCCCTAGCCGCGCGATGTACCGACTTTCGGCATCGAAAGCAGATCATCTGCCCTCCGCTAAGGACGTCGCCCTTGATGAACGTGACACGTCGTCGGTCACCCAACGACTCAATCGCATCAATCTCCATAGAATCCGGGCCGGTGATTCATAAGTGGTAACTACTGAAGCCTTTGTATAGACCTTGGGGACTCTTAAGTCATCACGGAGGGTGATAGCAAAAGCCTCCTCCAGCGTGGCAGGCTCCGCGCGCTCCAGCGATAAGCGAGTCTGCCCTTCACGCATTCCATCGACAAACACGTTCACTTGTGTGTGCATGTCCATGGGATGCGTGACTATGCACGAGGCCAGATGTTGAGCCATCTGCACGTAGCCGCGCATAGACATCTTACCCTGTCTCAAGGACAGGAAACTCGATCGCACCAACTTTTCTTCTTGTGGCGGCTCGAAGGTGAGTCGAAAATCACTCTGGATGGCTTCCATAGTGAGGAACGCATACTCGGCCACTACGAGTTCACCCAAAGCCCACTCCTTGGCTTTCCCACTGAGACGGGAAAGGAGAAAGTTGACCTATGCTTGAGGAGCCTCGAGAAGTCTCATGGCGACAGTAAAGTCAACCTCTCGGAACTAACGCGACAGCGACAAGCGTTCTTTAGCTTCTCCAGAGCAGACGGAGATCTCTATCTTCAGGCATCGTTGCGTGAAAGTCGCGAGGGATTTAAATCTAACCAATTTAACTAGGCGAGCTCGCGGGCCATGAAGTCGTGTATGGCGAGACGCTTTCCATCAGGTTTCGCTAATTTCATCAGCGACACAACGAATGCCCCTCCAGATATTGCCGCAAGGCAATTTAGGGTATCCCACTCAACACCAGTAAGATGAAGAAAAGTCGCGTGCTCCAGACTTAAGTCTGGAGCGTCAAAGTACGACGAATCGCTCATCTCAAAGTCGTGCCTGGGAAGGACCAACAAGTGCTGCCATGTGTAATGGGGCAAAAACAAACCGTACTTAGCTTACACTATTTCTAACGCTTTGAGGAAGCCTCAAATCCCAAGTCTTTGATGTATAGTATTTTTTACTCTGTTTTGATACTTTGTCTTTTAATCATCCTAAGTACGAATGGTTTCTTGGACTCATGAAAGCCACTCAATCTACGTGCCTGTACCTTACTGGCTAATAGTGGGACTGAGCCCATTAAATAAGCTAAAATGTACGACGTGCAACTTTCTCTACCTCGAAAGTAGCACCTCTACTTAAGTAAGCTGTAAACTAAATCGCAATTACTTATGTAAAGGGGTGGACCATAACAAAATCGATGATCAGGTATGCAATCTACAAATAGAAAATAATTTGTGCTGACCCTCTGAGAGTGGTGAAGCAAATCCGGCAAATTTGATCGGTAATCTCTGGTGTCATGAGTCATCAAATTTAAAGCTACAATAGCCGGCGAGATTAAAAAGCCTGGTGCCTGTGTCGCAGAGCGGTTCGGATCCGGATTGATTTATAGACCTTAACCTTGTGCAAGGCCAGACTGGTCCAGCAGTTACCCGTAATTCCTGTAGCCTCCCACTATTAGCGTTAAGATTCTCTTGTTTTACGAAAGCTTTAGTACAAGGAGGACGACAGGTTTTGTCTGTTTGAAGCACAAACAAGGGTGATTGAGCAGCATCATAGCTCTACAGCGCAAACTTAGCTGTGACCCTGCAAATTTCGAAGACAGCACCAGTCGTGATCGTTCTTGTGATCGTGAAATACGTCTACCGAATTTATCATTTAATTTATAAGGCTACGAACGTAATCACGACTCCACAACCTTTTTTGGTCATGGACGCGTCTTTCATTACCATAATTTTACGGAATTTACACGAGTTGCTAGTTGACCCTGACTGCTGTAATACAAATGCAGTGACGTCGTGTAAGCAATCTTCCGAATGAATACCTCGCAATCCCATTAGATCTCAAATTTAGGATATCCACGCCACTCTTCCAGATGCTGATATTAGACATAAAAACGACGATGATGGAACCTGCAATACCCATGCCGATCAAGCAACCTCAATGAGATGGGTATTTAGGCATAAGCACGCAGTTAGGATTTTCATTTTGTAAAAAGCCTTCATTAAATTTGCGCCAGCTCCAGAGAACGCTTGGTGCGGAGCAGGTGTGTCAGCAGGAGGTGAAGAGTGATCTACTCCAGATTAATTAAACTGTTTTGATAATGGAAATTATTTTGCTTTAGGTGTAAGTGCAGCTAAATCTATTGGTGAGGACGATTCGGCCCGCATCCGGGCTTACGCCCTCGGCGCAAGCACCTCCTCTACATGAGTCGAGTCCGATAAGGTCTGTGTGAATGTTAAAAGTTAAAAACAGTACATGTACGCAATTTGAGAAGTAGTTCAGTGTGTCTATTGAGTATTTCTGGGTTTGACCGTAAGGAGAGGATGCAGCTGTCTTATGGACAATATCCACTACATTGGCACATAGCTTTTGACAATTTTATAGACTTGATCTTTAACCACACTACGCATAGAAGACCCCATCCTTAGCATTTTCTGAAATTTTTGCTTATCTTGGCTTTCCGCCGTAGCGTCACGCACGTGTTTTCAGGATTTACAGAGCACACCCAAGACCTCTGTTACATCCTTCCAAATAAAAATTTGGACGACATGAGAAAGCCAATCGACAAGTTCGTCATTAACGTCCCAGACCATATGGTGAGAGTATTAATAGGAATCGCGTGTGCGTGAGGCTGTTGACAAGAAATGGGGTATATCCCGAAGATGAATGTACAGAGTAGTGTATAGCAAACGCAACTATAAAAATAATAGATATCCAGAGACTAGGCGCATCGGCACACCCGTTTTGCACGATATCTTCGACATCGCAATAAATGCGCTTGGTGTACGAAAACATTAATCTAGGTAGGTGTGAGGATGATACAGCGGCACACGTCCAGAAGGGTGCCAAGGAACTGGAAGATGGACTTCCAGAAATTATTTGTGAAAAGAGCATCGCGGTCAAAAAAAAATTAATACAGCGTATTCCATGTTGGCAAAACACGTGAATAATATTATGCCGAGCTGTACCTTCATTCTACTAAATTCCGGCACAGCAGCTAAGTTTGACATATTTATTAAGCAATTCGCTAGAAATACAGTGCCAGCGTTTCCATACTAATCTTTCGGAAGGCCTAACACAAACTCCATGCTTATACAGTCCATTAAATTTTAGGAGTCAGGTAAGTCATTTTATTGTGTAGCTGTCTGTGTAGACATTTTGCACCGTTAGCACGTACTGCACGAGCAAAAAGGTACTTATCCACTTTTAAAGTTTAGGCCACCAATAGCTCTGACTTTCTGAGGTACATTACGATTAACGACCGAGATAAATTCTCAACGTCGTACCACGTGCCTCACAAAGGATGCCATACCTTGATTTCTCATCCACACGAGAGGTGATCTTAGAATCTAAGCGATAGCGCAATAGAGCCTAATTGACATTAAATCGATAAAAACCGCCCAAACAATCGTGCGGAAATGTTATGTCCACCTCCATTTAACTCTCGCTTGAATGATCGTGCAGAAAACCTACAACAATTATCACGGACATAAGCCGCACGAGTCATGTACAAGTTTGAAGTGGACAATGATATTACTTGAGAAAGCTTATACAGATCTGCGTGATAACGCATCTGCCTAAGCATTAGGTTTAACGATCTTGCATGTAACCTCGAAGTTGTATTCCGCAAAAAAAATCAAAGAGCATAGCTTAAGAAGAGGTGAGGTGCTCGAGTTGGCAGTACGAAATGACGCAGAACCAGAAAATACCATGGCTCCTTGTCATGACTATTATTTTTGTACACGATTTAATTGCGGAGATTTTAAGGCGATGACAAGCTCGCACTACTCAACATCTTTCGTTTTACAGCACTACCAACGGTTAAGGTTAAATTGGGTGCACCACGTATAACACTAAATGGCTTATTCCAGATCGGTTGAGGCCAAAGTTAGGTGCAAAGGAGAAATTCTTTACGGCTATAAAATAATAATTTTTAATGCTACCTCATATTCATTGACAACACTATTACAGGAGATTATTTGATGTCTTTTCATGATGGTGTAATTCGTTTTTTACTTGTGTAAGTAGTTGGCAAAAAAGTCATTTGTTCAAGTCCTTTAAATTCCTAACAATCGGTCGACCAGCTGTAGAGATTAAACTTATAAGGGTCTAATATCAGGTCAAATAATGCCTATGAAGCACCTAAGAAAGGGGGCCTCCTCAAAACCGAAGATGCACTTCAGGACATTATCAAGTTCATTTATTATGCGCATGTTGTCGATCACCGCTCACAAATTCTCATTTGTAAATTATTTACATCCGTTCACGTAAATTCTGCTCGACTATGATAGTTATGCCATCAAAATAAGCATGTGTGTAACCTTGGCTAAGATGAAAAACTTACAAGTCGGTTGTGTGGACCCCGAATCTCGCGCACCACATGCATGTGTTCCTTGTACGAAAAATTTCGTCGATATTAGCGCACTGTCTTCATACAATTTTTATCTTAGTGCAAAGCAAATTTAGATTCCACAAGCAGGTCTATTTAATGAGTACAGTCATGCGCTAAGGTCATAATGAATTAGGATAAACACGCACCACATCTTGGCATTAACAAATCAAAGTTAGTGAGAATCCTATTGTATCGAAATAATAAACGGTTCACTACACATATGTCATGCAGTCAATTGATTAGTTGACAATGTCAAATCATCTTGTTGTTTTCCACAGTACAGATCCTAATTAGTGAAATAAATTATATTTGCATGAGCGTATACATGTTAAAAATATTCAAGACTAGTTTATAGGCTATCAACCCAAACTGCGTCGCGTCTAAAACTAATTCGGAAACCTTAATCAGATTAGATGCTATCCCCCGTGAAGAAATTTCTGTAATGGCTTAACAACGCCAAGATTTAGCGGCATCTGAGCGAAGTAAAAAAGATGCGCGCTGCCGCTTTCACAATTTTTAGGCGTAGGGGGATTTCGCGTGTACTGTGACTTGGAATACTTTTTTTCAGCTAATGAAATAAAATTTGCACCGCTGACAGTGTAAAGGCGTGAGAGTCCGACTACCTCGCGTACACGTAGGTGCAGAAAAATAAAGCTACACGGAGTAAGGGTACTCAGTAAAGGTTAAAATTAGAACTACATTCAGTACAGTGACTTTTTTTTTGATAGATCCCTGTTTGACTTCATTTAAATGTCTCTAAATACAATAAGTTCTGTATCTATCAGCTCATTACTCATTTTGTGCTTCTGTCGTGGCTAGATTTTATTGGATAACATCTCTGTACTAAATTAACCAGTAAATAGTGTATAACTTCTGCAAAGTGAAATTATCTATTGAATGAATATCGTGACAATTTTATGTGTGTCTTGACTTAACATTCATTCTTTATATTTCCTTTATAAATTGTCATGTA